GTTGCCCCCCCCCCTGGATCCACCACTGCTGACAGGATTGAGGGAGGTTAATGTAATAGGATTAGGAGGGTTAACGTGAGTGTGGTAAAGCAAGAGCAAGTGAGTTTTGGTATGGTTGGAGGGGGTTAGAGTGACAGGATAAGGAGGGTTTAACGTGAGTGTGACTTGGTGAAGGGGGTGACATTGTGTGGGGGCTGAAAGTGTTTGGGAATTGTGATAGTGTATATGTATGGGGTGGCAATGTGTGCGTGTGGGGGTGACAGTGTGTGTGGAGGGTAGCTGTGACAGGGTGTGTGGAGGTGTGACAGGGTGTGTGGGTGGCTATGGGATGACACAGTGAGGTGGGTTGTGACAGGGTAGGGGGGACTGTGACAAGTTGTTGGGGCTGTGACAGGGTGCGAGTGGAGGGCTGTGACAGGGTGGGTGGTGGGGTGGGCTGTGAGAGTGGGTAGGGGGATGGCGTGGCAGTAACAGGGGGTAGGGAGGATGGAGGGGCAGTAACAGTGGGTGGGAGGGCAGTGACAGGGGGTAGGGGGAGTGGAGGGGCAGTGACAGGGGGAAGGGTGGAGAGAGCAGTGACAGGTTAGGGGGGATGGAGGGGCAGTAACAGGGGTAGGAGGGTGGAGGAGCAGTGACAGGGGGGGCGAAGGTGCAGTAACAGGAGTGGGGTGGAGGGGCAATGGCAGGGGTGGGGAGAGGGGCAGTAACAGGGGTAGGGAAATGTAGCCACTGACAGGGGGTGGAGGGACAGTAACAGGGGGTAGGGAGGATGGAGGGGCAGTAACAGGGGGTAGGGGGTATGGAGGGGCAATGACAGGGGGTAAGGGGGATGGAGGGGCAGTGACAGGGGGTATGGGGGATGGAGGGGCAGTGACAGGGAGTATGGGGGGTGGAGGGGCAGTGACAGGGAGTAGGGGGTGGAGGGACAGTGTCAAGGGGTAAGGGGGACGGAGGGACAGTGTCAGGGGTAGAGGGGGTTCACAAATACCTTCCCTGGTGGTCCTGTGGTTTCCCCTGGTGGTCCAGTGGGCGCCCTCTCTCCCCGGTGGACTCTTACCCTTGGCAACGCTCTGACAGGCTGGAGATCGCGAGACACCTCAGTCTGCAGCTCACTCCGGTGGAGCTGCAGACTGGAGGCAGTGCTCGGCTCTCAGCCAGGGCAGACTGATTGGAGGGGCCTCGCACCTGGTGGCATTATGGAAAAGTCATCGGGCCCACTTCTGTGTCGGGTCCTCGGTCTCTGACTGAGGACCCGACTTGGTAGTCTGCCCTAAGGCGATATAGGCGGCCGTGAGGCCCCCATCAGCGGCCTAAATCGCCTAATTAGAGAGCCAACTCTGTATCTAAGGAAAGAGAGATCAGCTAAGTGACATGGAAATTATATATAAGGAGCGAGAGATATGTTTAGTGACATGGAATTGATTTCTGAGGAGAGAGAGATCCGTTTAGTGACATGGAATTGATATTAGAGGAGAGAGAGATCCATTTAGTGACATGGAATTGATATTAGAGGAAAAAGAGATCAGTTTAGTGACATGGAATTGATATTAGAGGAGAGAGAGATCCATTTAGTGACATGGAATTGATATTTGAGGAGAGAGAGATCAGTTTAGTGACATGGAATTGATATCCGAGGAGAGAGAGATCAGGTAGTGACATGGAATTGATATCCGAGGAGAGAGAGATCAGTTTAGTGACATGGACAGAATATCCGAGGAGAGAGCAACACCCAGGGACCGCACCCTCTTAGTTTACTGAGTCATCCATTGAATATAATAGATCATTTTGAATAATAACAGAGGACAGAAAACATTACAGTCACTTCCTTTATGATCTTCCACTTGGAAGATAAGATATACAGCTATATGTACTGTGCTATCAAAGCTCCACAATATATTACTCTAGTATTGTTCAAGGTACCAAAATAGCAAATGGCGATAGCATTAAACCATTTGGGGAACATCCTAATTTAGGTATTTTAAAGCTTCCCAGTCTCACACACTTGTATTTCAGATGAAATATTTTAATTATAGGCCACAGAGAAATAATAATGCCATTTTAGGGTTATGTGTAAGTACAACAATAAACCATGAGACAAAAATTGAGTGCTTTATAAATGTCTCCATAATTCTAAGATATTTGAGGAAAGCAGCTGTGAGCTAATGTACAGAAGGCTGGGACATGCCCATACACAGAATTTAGGGCTTAGATGCCCGGTATCATTTTGTTTTTTTATAATGTAAGTATACCTCCCATCTCTGGCATCCTGAGAATCCTGACACCAGTGGGAGGGAGGTAAAGGGCATAGGCCAGTTACTCAATCACGTCACTAGCTCTACAGTCAATGTAATGAGCCACCAAGAAAGGGGGCGGATCCGTCCAGGTTAATGGCAGGTCAGCCTGGCGTGATTGCAAGCCAGGCTGCCTGTCCATTACTCAGGCCAGCCCACTGAGGGCAGGACATGCAGGGAGAATGGTTTCATTGCACCCTGCAAGGTCCTAGTGCCCTAAACATAGTGAGAGCGTGTCTAATGATGCGCTTGTGTTATGATTGTTGGGGACAGATCCCTGGTGTCCCAAAAGTGGGGCATCAGGGAACTAAGTTATCACAGGATCTGAAAGTCAACACTATTGTGCCGAAATGGGGATGGTTGGGAGTCATGAAGTAAGTCACCTACAGTGCAGTACATAATTTAAAAACAAACCAAAATTAGAATATAGATAGACAGGCAAACAGAGTGACAGATAGATAGATAGATAGATAGATAGATAGATAGATAGATAGAATAAATATAGACAGAGCCGGATTAAGAGCACGGTGGGCCTGGTGCTGACAATTATGATGGGCCTAATTACGGAATCTTATCGACCAAAAACACTAAAACAATCATACCTCCCAAGCGTCATGTATCTGATGGAGATGGTGCTGGAGGGAAACTCATAGGATGCAGCTATAAGAAAACACATACCCTATGCTAATCTCTCTCTAATTTATGCTTTCATCTTTCAAGTAAATCCATAACCCCTAACAGCAGTGTCCAGTGAAGCAGGAAGTCAATGGGCAGGGTAAAAGGGTGGGCCACTGGCACGAATCACGTGACAAGACCTGCCAAAAGGGGTGAACATGCCCAAAAAGGGGGCATGTTTGTCAAAACAATTGAAAGGTCAGCCTGGCATGAATGCATGTCAGGCTGCCTGCCAATCCTGCAGGCTGTCCAACTAAGGGCATACTATGCAGGCAGCACCTTGAGCTTGACATAAATGCGTCTAATGATGCGCTCACTCCATTCTTTCTAAGGACTGTCCCCTAGCACTCACTGGTCCACTTGTCTCCTTACCTTCTTATTAGCAGGCAAAAGTTCCTGGTATATAGTCTGAGACAGAGAAAAGGTGTCTGTAGTGAGTGTAGAAGAAAGGGGACATGCCACAGTGTTAGAGAGACCAACGTCTGCATTACCTAAACTAACTTTAATGTCAGCCAGTGCACACAAGTTTTGTTCCCATACATCCCTCTTAAGCTTCCAAACTTAAAGGGACACTATAGTCACCAGAACAACTACAGCTTATTGTATTTATTCTGGTAAGTAGAATCATTCCATTCAGGCTTTTTGCAGTAAACACTGTCTTTTCAGAGAAAATAACTCCACTGGCCACTCCTTAGATGGCTGCTAGAGGTGCTTCCTGGGGCAGTACTGCCTAGTGTGCAGCACTGCCATTCAGTGTCTCCACCCTCTGCATGCAGACATTGAACTTTCCTCATAGAGATGCATTGAATCAATTTATCTTTATGAGGAGATGGTGATTGGCCAGGGCTATGTTGGACTTGTGCTGGCTCTGCCCCTGATCTGCCTAGTTGACAGTCTCAGCCAATCCTATGGGGAAGTATTGTAATTTGCTCAGACCACCACCTCTGAGCCAGCAGCTGCAGAATTGAATACAAGTAATATTTTACTATATTTAGGGAGGCAAGAAGGGGTCTGGGTGGTGGTTTTAACATAATAGGGTCAGAAATACATGATTGTGTTCCTGACCCTATGGTGCTCCTTTAAGCAAGAGTATGTGAAGAGTAGTTAAGGTTGCCACCGTTCTTTGAAAAAAATACCAGCCTTAATCATTTGTATAATTATTTAGTTATGTGTGACATCACATGATGTAAATCACAAGGAGTGACATCAGAGAAAATTCTGTAAAATCACCAACAAGCTACTCACAGTTTGATTCTGCTGTACAGATGGATTGCTCCCAGTGTCTCCCTGTCTCCCAGTGTCTCAGTCTCGCAAGTCTTGTCTCAGTGTCCCTATGTATCACAGTGTCAGTGTCCCCATGTCGCCCAGTCCCCTAGTCTCCCAGTGTCTGTGTCCCCATTTCTCCCAGTGTCCCAATGTCTCAGTGTGTCCCCATGTCATTAGAATACTGGGGACACTGAGAGACATGGGGACACTGAGGCATTTAGGGAAACTGGGAGAAATGGGGACACTGAGTCACTAGGGACACAGACACTGGGACACTGAAACATTTGGGGACACTAAGACACTAGGGACACAGACATGGGAACACAGACACTGGGAGACTAGGGGACACTGGGAGACTAAGGGACACTGGCAGGGAAACGGACACTTGGGGACACTGGGAGACATGGGGACAGTTGTGGACATAGACATGTGGACACTGGGACATATAGGGACACTGGGAGACATGGGGACACCAGGCACACTGAGACACTAGGAACACAGACACTGGGAGACATGGAGACACTGAAACATTTGGGGACACAAAGACACTAAGGACACAGACACTGGGAGACTAGGGGACACTGGGAGACTAGGGGATACTGGGAGACTAGGGGACACTGGTTGGGAGACAGACACTTGGGGAGACATGGGGACAGTTGTGGACATGGACATGGGGACACTGGGACACATGGGGACACTAGGCACACTGAGAGACATGGGACACATACACTGGGAGACTTGGGGACACTGAGACACTAGGGACACTGGCTGGGGGACATGGTGTCTCCATGTCCCAATGTCTCCCAATGTCCCTATGTCTCACAGCGTCCCCATGTGTCTCAGCATCCCCATGTGTCCCCTAGTGTCTCAGTGTCCCCATGTTTTCCAGTGTCCCCAAGTGTCTGTGTCCCCAGGTCTCACAGTGCCTGTGTCCCCATGTGTCCTAGTGTCTCAGTGTCCCCTAGTGTCTGTGTCCCCATGTGTCCCCTAGTGTCTGTGTCCCCATGTGTCCCCTAGTGTCTGTGTCCCCTAGTGTCTGTGTCCCCATATGTCCCCAAGTGTCTGTGTCCCCATGTTTTCCAGTGTCCCCAAGTGTCTTAGTGTTCCTAGTGTCTCAGTGTCCCCTAGTGTATGTGTCATCATGTGTCCCCTAGTGTCTGTGTCCCCTAGTGTCTGTGTCCCCATATGTCCCCAAGTGTCTGTGTCCCCATGTTTTCCAGTGTCCCCAAGTGTCTTAGTGTTCCTAGTGTCTCAGTGTCCCCTAGTGTATGTGTCATCATGTGTCCCCTAGTGTATGTGTCCCCTAGTGTCTCAGTGTCCCAGTGTCCCCATGTGTCTTAGTGTCTCAGTGTCCCCTAGTGTATGTGTCCCCTAGTGTCTCAGTGTCCCAGTGTCCCCATGTGTCCCTGCTGCCTTTACCCCCATCCCTCACTTACCTGAGCTCTAGAGCTGCTGTCTGGAATCTCTGCGCTGTGTAGCTGCTCCCCCGTAGATCAGTGAGTAGTAGAGAGAGGCAGGGATATTCTGTAACTTCCTATCTCTGCCTCTCTCCACACACACTGACCCCTACTGGCCGGTGCTGGTATTGCAGCGTAATTTCCATTTATTCTAGAAAATTACCTGCATTTGTATTGCCGGTATTACTGCAATACCGGCACGGCCAGGCAGCCTCAAATACCGGCTGTGCCAGTAAAATACCAGTCAGGTGGCAAACCTAAGAGTAGTGTGTGTAAAACAAACAAAAAAAAATTTTTTTTTTTTTTTTTTTTTAAATGGGCCTATTCCATGGGCCTGGGCCTGGAGCTGCAGCTCCATCAGCCCCTATGTTAATCCGGCCCTGAATATAGAGTATGACTATTAAAATGTATTTCTTTTTAGTATGACAAGGCTATTGTATACTGGAAATTATTACTTGGGTTTTTTAACCTAATTAATGATTTTTGGTCACTATGCTTGTGTGCTGTGCTAAATTACCTTTTATTTTAGATTAATTTATTTTATCATATTTACCTCCTGGCTTCCTGTCAACTCCAAAGAAATCCTAGGTGGTGATCATACCATCGAGGACCTTAGCCATAGGGCCGTTTGCCTGCTCTATATGTTGGGGATTATACAACTGTATGCTACATTAACTGGAGCTGGTCAAAGCTCCATTAAATGTGAGCAAGATACTGCTGTTTTATAATATACACCACGCTTATGTTGATTTATTGCACTATTGGATTTCCTGTTATTTCTGTTTTATATATCTGTACGGATTTTACCAAGGAACCTACATTCCAGTAAAAGAATCTACCATCTACCCAAGAACTTATATTGCATTTAAAGGGGTATTCATTTTTATTCTGGACTATTTCATTTGATTACTGACAACAGTATTTTATTGTATTCTTGTGGCACAACCTTTTTGTTTTTGTTTATTTCTATTGTATACTATATGCCAGACATGTCAAAATTGCGGCTCATGAGCCGCATGCAGCTCTTTAGATGGTCCAAAGTGACTTGTGAACATTACAAGGCCGGCACTATAATTAGGCGGCACAGGTGGATGACTTAGGGCTCGCCGCCTGGGGGATGCAGGATCTGGCTGACCAGCAGGAGGGAAGCCCACTAAACAGCGTTCCCTTCCTGCAGGTCTTTCTTTGTAGCATGGCCAAGCCCCTGACCGCACTTCCTGTCCCTTCTACGGGATATGGCAGGAAGTGCTCACACTGAAAGCAACAAACTGCTTCCTGTCTGACCGGGTGGAGGGAAACAAGCTCCTCTCCCCCCGGTGGGGGTGGGGGAATGAGACACATGGGAGACTGGGGTAATGAGACACATGACAGACTGGGGGAATGAGACACATGTGGGCTAGGGGAAATAAGACACATGGGCAGATGGGGAATGAGACACACGGGGGGGCTGGGGGTATGAGACACATGGGGGGCTAGGGAAATAAGACACATGGGGACTGAGGGAATGAGAAATGAGACATAGGAGCTGGAGGAATGATTTTGGTTATGTTGAATATTCCAAAAAATGTAATTACAGCTCTTGAATATTTTTAAATGTTAACATGAGGCTCTAACAGATATGAAGTTTGGCCACCCCTGCTATATGCCAAGATAATATAAGTAAATTATGTTGTACAACTACAGACAGACACATTGGAAATCTAAAATATATTTCTGTATCTACAAAAGAGAATGAACACACTCACCAAACCAGGGGCATAACTAAGTATCACAATGCCATGGTGAAAGAATCAAAGAAGGGCCCCTCTTACGCTTTTACTCTACACCTACACTGACGTACACTCACTGACACTCCCTTATTTGACACACACTGACAGGCATATACTCTTTGACAGACACAATCACACAAAAAACACACTCACTGATTTGACACACACTCACACTGACAGACACAAACTCTCATTGATTTTTATACACTCACTGACAGACACACTCTCACTGACAGACACACTCACGAACAGACACACACTCACACTGATTTGACACACACCGACAGACACACACTCTCAGTGATTTGACATTCACTGATATAAACTCACTGTCAGACACACATTCTCACTGATTTGACACACACTAACAGAGAGACACACTCACTGATTTGATACACACTGACAAACAGATACACACTCACTGACAGACACAAATTCACTGACAGACACAAAAACTGATATGCACATACACTCACTGATAAACACATACTCACACTGATTTGACACACACTCATTTGATTCACACTGACAGACACACACTCACTGACTGACAGACACAACCTCACTGACAGACACACACTAATTGACAGAAGCACCTTCTCACTGACAGACACACTCACTGATTTAACACACTCACACATATACACATTGTCTCACACACTCACAAATAAATTTTAGTAATAAATGTTTTTGTTAGTTTCTCTTTCCCATCTGACCTCATCTGCCATCATCCGGTGTTCTCACTGCAGGGCAGGCAAGGCATATCAACTGAACAATCAGGCCCGGACTGGCCATCGGGCACACCGGGCAAATGCCCTGTGGGCCGCGGTGGCCATGGGCCGAGGCCGGCAGGGGAGGTCCCAGGATCTCCCCTGCCGGTCTATGCAGGGCCGGCACTATCCGAGCGCCGGCCCCGCTGTGTTCCATGAAGGGCCGGTGGGGAGATCAAAGATCTCCCTCACCGGCCCACATGCTCTCAAACGCTGCCGCTGGCGGGGAGGGGGGGGGGATAGAGCCATCCTGGAGAGAGGACCCAGCGGAGCTCTAACTTGCAGGTCCGCCGGGTTTCTCTCGCGAGATCCGGACCGTTGCTATGGCAACCGGCCGGGTCTCGCGAGAGTGAACTCTAGCACTCACATAGCACCCTAACACACACACAGCACCCTAACACCAGCACCCTAACACTCACACTGCACCCTAACACTCACACAGCACCCCAACACCAGCACAATAACATTGACACATCACCCTAACATTGACACATCACCCTAACACACACACAGCACCCTAACACATACAGCACCCTAACACATACAGCAACCTAGCACACACACACATCACCCGAACACATACACAGCACCCCAACACATACACAGCACCCCAACACACACCACCCTCACTCACACAGCACCCTCAAATACACAGACCCCTCGCACAGTGCCCTCACACACAGCGCCCTCACACACAGCGCCCTCACACACACATACTGCACCCCCCCACACATACTGCACCCCCCCCACACACAGCACCCTCCCACACACACTATACTCCTCACAAATGCACTCTACACCCCTCACACACACAGCACCCCCCAAACACACTGCACCACTCACACACACACTCACTAGATCTCCTATACGCACTCCTGAGTCCTTCAAACACAGACTAGATCCCCTACACACAGACGCTGCACCACTTACACACACACTACATTTCTGACATACACACTCACGATCCCCTATGAACACACTAGATACCATTTAAACAAACACATAGTGTCTCCATAAATGGGATACAGTGAGTATTCCAATTATGGAAACCCCTGAGACAAGTTTCAAGCAAACACAATGCAAGCATGTTATTAAATTTGCTTGCGCTGTGCAGATCAAATACAGGGCCCGTTTCTCATGCCCTGGAAGAGCATTGAACCAAAATGCTCACTTTGAGATGGGGCGTGCTTGTCATTGGGGATGACAAAACACACCCTATCTGGCCCGCCCCCTTTTCAGTGGGCCGCTGTAATTAAAAATGCCCGGGCCGAATTTTTTTCCCAGTCCGGCCCTGTGACCAATTAATTTGTCCTGCAACATTCTGCCATTCGCCTTAATGTGTACTGATTACAGACTGTGCTGTCAATACACATGTAACCCATTTTTTATTTGAATAGAAAGTACTCAACCATAAGGTCAAAATAAGGTCAAAATAAACATTTTACGTGTTTCGGACCTACAGGTCCTTAGACATATGTCCGAAATGCGTAAGGTGTTAATTTTGACCTTTCCCTTGTTTGTCTATTTATTGCACTTAGTGGATTAAACTTCTCTCTTTGCATTTTTAGCGCTTGTTTGGCTTTTTTTGTTGTTTTTTTCCCCTTTGTTCTATTAAAAAAATATTATGACAGATACAATTTATAGGACATTTCAAAGCACCATAATCACTACAGCACTGCTGCTCCCTGTGCGCTGTACTGTTTATGGTGTTTGGAACGTTCCTTTAATAGCATATACTCTGTTTTTTGGGGCTTACCCACTGTCACAGTTCCTTTATGACTCATACGAAGCCACATTAGTTCATTTATATGCTGTAACTAGGCTGGTATGGACTGGAAGTCATATTACAATTCTGTTCACTTTCGTTCTAAAGTAATTGAAC